ACATCCAATCATGCTAGGGTCTCCCGCACTGGAACATTCGTATTTGGATGGAATCTGAGGACATAGAGCATGAAGGCTATCAGGGCACAGCCAGGGGCAAGAGATACCTGGAGAAAGAGGGGTTATCAGAAGGCCTAACGTGAGGCCAAGCTCCACTGAGGGGAGGGGCAACACCCGACCTTCCCAAAACAGGGGTGTGTGTATCTCTCCTGGTGCTAGATGGCAGCAGCTTCCTCTCCTCCCACTGCTGCCGCCAGGAATCCCTGCCCAGCAACAAGGATGCCCATTCCACACGTCCCGCCCCAGACTGAACCAGGTCACATTCTCACAGAGGAGGTGCTAAGACTGTCTTTGTCCCACTTTTTCATAACATTTCCCCTACTCCCCACTCTCCAGCCCATCCTGGTCTACCTGCCTCTCCAATGAAATATCTTACTCGTCCTGACAGAGAAGCTCTTTCAAGCTCTGCAAACATGTAATTCTTAGGGTCATACTTCTGATATCATTCCTCTTGCCTGAATATCCACTCTCTCCCCTTAAAATCCTATCCATTTCTCAAGGCCCATCGAATTTCCATCTCCACCCAAATACCTCCTCCTACTGCTCCAGCTGCTACTATTTCTCCTTCCTCCTGATTACTCCTCGGTCAACCAGAGCTGAGCTTTCCCTGACTGCAGGCACATTTCCATCATGTGGAAGTCATGTGAATCCCCGCTCAACAATGAGATTCAAGAACAGGTACTCAATCACCCATCTTCCCCCCACCAACTCCATCTTAAGTGAAAAAAGAGACAACAAAGGAGAGCGAAGGCATCAGATTATCAATTCCCACATGCCCTTCACCTTTTTCCTCCTCAAAGCTCTTTCCCTATGTTCCATCTCTCGAAATGCTGTTCACCCTTGAAGTTCCAATTCAAAAGCCATTTCTTGATGAGGACTTCTTTGATCTCTTCATCTCCCACCCCCACAAAACAGAAGGCATCTCTTCCTTCTCAAAAGGCCCACAATCTACACGCCCCACTTACATGATGGGATTTCTAGCTCCATCCCTTACTGGTTACATGTCCTTGGGCTCTCTGAGCCTGTTTTCCCAACCATAAAATATGGAAAACAGTACCTTCTTCATGCGCTAGTCATGAGATTTTTAAAAGATGGTGTCTAAATTACTTGGTATAGCAGCAAACATTAAGCAATCAATAAAGGAGAGGTAATCTTGTCATAACAGCCTCTGCCTCTTACCTTAAAAATACAGACACAGGCCTTACTACACCTGAACTTCAAGAGTTTATTCAAAACTCAAAGGCAGAGGCCACATATTCCCTATGGTACTTAGCACGATGCCTGACCTCCGGGTACAAAATAATTACTCATGAAATAAACTTAAAGCAATGATTCTCAGAGTCTGATTAAGAAGGTCTGACTCATCTAAAATAATCCTATACCATTTAAGCTTCATGAAGTTTCAGTTCACAACAAGGTCAAGCCTGACACCTCAAAGGCATCCGGCCTCAGTACATGGCTGGACCTGGGGGAAGGCAGGACCCCAGCTCACCAGGCAGAAGCCAGCTCTCTCCCTCATCCTGCCACCACGCCACCAGCTTTTCCAAAGAAAGATAGAAGAAAACCTCTACAAGGCTAATAAATGTCCTAAAACCTTAACCAAGGCCAAGTAGCAAACAGATCTATAAAGTAAGACTTTTTATTTTATTTTATATATATATATAAAATATATATATATATATATATATATATATCTCATGAGGATTCCCTCAAGGTTTATCACAGCCTCCAAATAATAGCAATAATCGTAACAGCTGTCCCACTTTTTTTGTTTTTTAAGAACTTACTGTGGGCCAGACACCATGCTGAGTGAACACTCAAGCTTCCCTTTCCTGTAACCCTCAGAACCACTGAGATTGGTACTATTAACTCACCACTTCACAGATGAAGAAATCTGCCCAGTCACAAAGCTAGAGAACGACAAACATTCAATCCCAGGTCTGCCTGATTCCAGGGCCCAAGAGTTTCTCATGGCTGAGTCTTCGGTTCCTTGACAAAGGCGGGGCCTCTTTGGGTAACTAGTTTCTATGACCTTCTTACCACTAAGCAAGTTATCAGCTACCCAAGGCAAGAATGTCCGTCTCACTCACCCTCCCATGCTCCAGCGCCTACAGCAGCCCTCAGCACGGCACGGCTATCTACGAATGAATGAATGATTCATCTTCTGCTCTGCAGTCTGGCCAGTTGGCTGATACACTGCTGACACCAGGAGGCGGCCATTCCAGTTCTGAAATAACTGGGTCTCCGAACACCTAATCCCACCCTGCCAAGCTATTTCAGGGGCCTTGAGCAGCTCCAAAGAAAATGACCCCCAGAGGACCAACAGCTGGGTCTGACCAGGCCGTGGCAGCCCTCCAGCCCTGTTTGACTCCAGTCTGCCTCGAGGAGTGGCTAGGGGCCAGACAGGCCTGGCCAGGTAGAAACTCACAGAAGCCCTTCTCTGCTTCCCGACTATCCCAGCCCCATTGGTGCACTGAGAAAGGCTCTCCTGGGTACCAAGGTGGTCTGTTTAGCTGGCATTTGGGCAGGACAAACATAGGACTACTGCCATATATTTGCTTAATAAAAGCAGTGTCTGTATGCATTTCAAGTCTGCTACAGAGTGGGAGGTATTAAGAAAACAGCTGAGACCTCCAGCTGTGAGTGCAATGGTTCATCAAAGCGTGATTAATTCAAACACCAAATCATCTCACATCAGCTGCCAACCAACCACTAGGGAGGGTCATGCCCCAGGTGCTAGGAGCAGCCTGTGCTAGTAAGGTGAGCCCTGAAGCTGTGGGGAGGCACTCACCTTGAGGAATATTTAGAATTCAACCCTCCAGCAGTATTCACTGCCTGGGGGAATCCTTCAACAGGACCCCTACACTCAAGCAATCACTCATTTAAGCACACAGAACTGAAAGTCCCAGATCCACCTTAGGAATGTCTTTTGCTGGGCTCCAAGATAAAGAATGAGCTCAGCCCTTGAGAAGCTCAGAGAATTTAAATAGATTGTATGAAACAACAAGTTTATACTGCAGAGCCCAGGAAACTATATTCAATATCTCATAGTAATCTATCATGAAAAATATGCAAATGAGCATATGTATATGTATGACTGAACTATTATGCTGTATGTCAGAAATTAACACAACGTTGTAAACCGACTATACCACAATAAAAAATTTTTTAATAAATAAAGAGATTGCACAGATTGCAACCCAGACCACTCCAATCCCCAAGGGAGGGATAAAAGTGAGGCTGGAAGGGAGACAGGACAGATCACCTGGGGGTGGGTCCAGGCGGAATGAAGAAAGGCACTACCGAGCACCCAACCCTAAGCGACTGCCTCCCTAGCAGCACTACCAGAGCTAGAAACCCAGAGACCAAGAGGCCCCAATAGCACAAGACTCCCAACAACCTGCAGTGTCCACAAGGAGCTGGTTAAACAACAGAAAGCACCTCCATGCATGCAATGGGGCATGGGGAGTCTTTTCGTTAACAAGAATGAGGCAGCTCTAAATGCAGGCATGTGGAACAATGACCAAAATAAACCAAGGGAGGGCGGCTGCAGAACGCACAGAAGCTGCTACTTGTATTTTTAAAGCATGAGCTTCTGGTGAAACAGCTTCCCGATGTTCCTTTGGGGAACCACTCTTTTCCAATTTTTGGTCCAATGTTTTTTCCTTTTTCTTTGGTAAGCCAACATGACTTAGCTTTCTGTCACTCGTAACTAAAAAGACTAGCGATAATAATAGCTAACACTACGTGCCAGGCACTGTCCTCACTGCTTCAGAAGTATTAACTCCTTTGATCCTCACAACCCCAAGAGAGACACGTTACTATATTCCCACCCCAGAGACACAGCTGCTTTGCTTGCTGAGGCAAGATCTGTCAGTGAGCCAAGCTCAAGGTTCCTCAGGTCCCCCAGAGTGACTTCCTTCGCCATTCAGCTTAGACGCACGGTACGTTCCTCCTTCCACTACACTCCTGTTGTTGCCATAATCCCAACCTGGACCCGGGGTCCTTCCACCGGGCTACCTCCACCCTGCCCCACCACCCACAAAGCTGGTTTAAACCACAGTTCACTCTCTCTGTTCCTATGGAGGAGATCAGGGGAAGTCACACAACCAGGAAGAAGACGAGATACATTTCTGAAGTCCACTGAGCACTCCGGGGTCTCAGGTGGAAAGGGGAGAGGTGAGCCTGCCCCTCTCCCCCAGGGCACATCTGGTAACATCTAGAGGCATTTTTGGTTCTCACGACTGGGTTGTGGGGTGTGCTATTAGTGTAGGTCCTAGCCCCACCTGAACAACTGGAAGATTCCATTTTAGGACCACAGTGGCCCCAAACAGCTAGAGCTGAAGAACCCTCCTCCTTGAGCAGCCACAGTCCCTTTTTTTCCTCCACCTGGGTCGGCTGCTAGCTGTCTTCTAACCCAGCCCATCTGACTTTTTTGCAACTCCACTGCCTCCTAGTCAACTACCTTCTGTCTCCACCATTTAATGCAAAGATATCTCATTAGTGACCCTTTAGTTGCTAAATTCAACGTTCCCCTTTCTTCTTCCTCATCCTACTCTTTCAGCAGCAAAACCACCTACCAACTACACTCTCCTTAGAGATCTGTGGCTGCCCCTACCCCTTACCATCCTGCTGCCAGTAGGCTCTGCCTTCTGTCTACAGGCTGCTTTTCCCACTTGCTTCTTCAATAAGGCGGTTCTCCATGCTCTGGCTGCAAACCCGTGTTCTTGATGCGTACAGCCTCACTGGACAAGTTCACTGCCAATGAACTGGACACCCCAAAAGTGACCTCCAGCTCTTATCCTCTCTGGAGCCCACCAACCACCTAGAGAGTTTCTTTGTGCCAAAAGCACCTTAAACTCCACAACTCAACAGTCTCTTCCTAAACCAGCTCCTCACAAGTGAGGCATCAGTAACCAAGTAGTTACTTGAGCCTGAAACTTGGAATCCATTCTAGATTCCTCCAGTCTCTTGCCTCTATTCTAGTGCATCAAGGCTGTTAATTGTAGCAGCTAATTATTTCTACTCTCCATCCCAGTACCTCTGTCCTCCTTCGGCCCCTAAATACTAGCAGAAGAGCTATCTACTCTGCCTGAACTCTCCCATCCCTAACCATTTCGGCTCTCCACATGGCTGCATGTGATACTTTCTCCGGGTGTACTTGATCAGATTCCCAGGTTGAAAATTCCAGCACTCACTTCCCCCACCATGTCATAGGATAAACTCCAAACTCCTTTCTGCAGCATACAAGGCCCTTGAAGATCTTGCCCCAATTAGGCGTGCACTCTCTTTTTAGGCTTTGCACTTCAGCACTACTGACCTCCTTCTTCCCAGAATGCTCCACACTCTCCTGTCTCCAGCTTCTGCACATGCAGTTTCTTGTATCTGAAATGTTGCCTCCATTGTCCACTCAAATACTGTGTTGGCTGAGGCAATCCCCAGGTAAACAAAGCAACTCCTACCACCACACATTAAACGCGTACCCCGGCTCCAATGTGCGTCAATTGTAACAAGGTGCTGTTATTGCCAGCCTGAACCCACTAAAAAATGTCTTTGTGAGCAAGGTCCCTGGGTTATGCGACTCAGTTTCCCAGCGCTAGCAGAGCCCAATACAAGGAGCATATGCTTTATCCCCTTTGAATCTCAGTTCAAAAGGACAGTAACGACCCCGACCCCCAGGACTGTCGTGAAGTTTATTGGAGACAATACACTTAAGAAGTCCGGCCGGAGCCAACTAGTACAAAAGATAAAAGAGCTTGTTTTGACATTAAAGACGGCAGCCAGAGAGAGCTTTCCCAGAGGATGCGTATCTTGCACGACTCAGTCTCCCTGGGTCTAAAGGTCTCCATCTCTAAAACAGGGTTAGTAACAGAAGCTGTCTCTCGGGGTCGAAATGAGGATTAACAGTGGCTGAAAAGCTTTTAGCACGGTGCATAAAAGCAAAGCTCAATAAACGTTACCCATTATGTTGTTAACAGCGCTTATGCACCGCGACTGGGGGCGGGGGCAGTGGGGTCCGCAGCCTCGGCGGATTCCTGGGGCTCCTCTCCAGGCCTCCCCCCGGGCGAGCCTCCCACCCGCGCCGGGCCCAGCCCCGCTACCCGAGGGCCGGCCTCTCCGCGGCCAC